TTAAATATACAATGTCATATTTTTCTCTGGGTGCCTTAAAAATATTTTAATCTTTGATTTTAATTAGTTTGATTATGATATATTTGGTCATGGTTTTGTTTGAGTTTATTCTGTTGAAGGTATCCAGTACTTCTTGAATATGAGAATTAATGTATTTAATCAAATTTGAAAAGTTTTCAACTATTATTTTCTTCAAGCATGTTTTATATACTAATGTTTTCCTCTTTTCTTTCAGAGACTCCATTAACATAAATGTTAGGTCTTTAATATTGTCCAAAACCCACTGAAGCTCTGTTCATTTTGTTGAAATTTGTTTCTCTTTGTTATTCACATTATATAATACTCAATCATCTTCAAAATACTTAATATTTTCTTTGTCTTCTCTATTATTGTTTTCATTGCAACGAACTTTTTACTTTAGATACCATTTTTTCAGTTTAATTATTTTTATTTTGTTACAGTATCTAATCCTTTGCTTAAAACTTTTATTTATTTAATTTCAAAAGTATTTATGTCATCTTGTGATGGATGATTATAATTTCTTTATTTGATAACTCTAAAATGTGGTTTACCTTGGGAGTGGCATCTTTTGATTGACTTTACCCTTCAGAATTGGCCAGATTTCTTTGTTGTTGCTTTTTTTTATGGCACGTACTTTGAGATTATATCTTTGGAATCTTGAATATTATTTTGTGACAGTATAGATCTTTATGAAATCTATTGGAGAAATTTAATTGTTAGCTTAATAGCTTACCACAATTGTGTTTAAACTGTCAACTGTGTCTTGCTTTATGTGAATGGAGGCTTCAATGTCATTTCATTTTTCTGCAGCCTTTGCTATGCTTTTGAGTCGGACCATCAGGTATACTACCTACCAGTTACTCTGGGACTCAGATTGTCATTGATACTGTATTTCTCCTCTCAAAACTTCTGCAGTGCTACTCTATGTCTGTTCTCTTCATGCACTGATTGGGGTGTGCATGGGACTTAAGTCAGTTACTGCATAGAATTAGGTGGTCTCCTATTTCAGTTCTCTTCTCAGAGGCCTTCCCACCATATTTCTCAGCTCCCAAGAGCCACTTACACCAGTTTATCTTGCTAGAAGGATTTTTTTGTGGGGGTGGGGGGTTAGCATCCTGTGCTGTTGTGCAATCTTTTCAACTTGGCTGCATTTGGAGTAAAGTGGCAATAAAATAAAGAGAAAAAAAATTTTAAAAAGGGCACTTCACACACTCTCTTATTTGCATAAATTTAAGGGTCATAAATAAAATTTTGATATATGGAAATATTGTCTAGTGGTAAAGTCTGGGCTTTTAGTGTAACCATCACCCAAATAATGTATATTGTAACTATTAAGAAATTTATCATCTTTCATCCCCTCCCACCCTTCTGAGTCTCTATTATTCTACACTCCAAGTCTATGTATACACATTATTTAATGCCAGTTTATCAGTGAAGACATGCAGTATTTGTCTTTCTGTTTCTGAGATGTTTCTCTTAAGATAATGAATCAAAACAAAATGTCACATTGTTCAAAGTGTTTATGAACAATGTGACACTTTGTTCTTATTTCTCTGTCAGGAGAGCTCTTTCCTTGGAGTTTTGGATGGTGATGCTGCAGCTACCACAGCAGTGTTTAGGGCATAGAAATTTACCCAGAGTCGAGAATAAAGATAAAATAGACATAAAAATATATTAAAAAATTATGGCATTAAAAACAAGGAAATATCACTACGTACCTATTAGGATGACTAAAATTATATATATATATATATATATATATATATATATATATATATATATTTGATAATATCAACTGCTGGTGAGAATACAGGACAACAAAAACTTTGATCATTGACCTGTGGGAGTGCAAAAAGGTGCAATCACTTTGAAAGATAGTTTGGTAGTGTCTTACAAAGATAAATATAATCTGGTAATATCATCCAGCAATTAGACTTCTTGGTATTTATCTAAATGATATGAACTTACATCCCCACAGAAACCTTCACATGAATGTTTATAGCAACCTTATTTATAATTGACAAAATGTGGAAGCAACTAATATGCTGTTAAATAGGTGAATGGATTAACAAATGTTTGTACATTCAAACAATAAAATGTACTGATGTTTTAAAGAAAGTTAACTCTCAAACCACAAAATCATAGATAAATATTAAATTCACACTGCTAAGTGAAACAATTCAGTCTGAAAAGGTTATATGTTCTATGATTCTAGTTACATGACATTCTAGAAAAAGCAAAACCATAGACAGTAAAAAAATTAGTGGATGTTGGAGATGATGCAAGATGGCTAAGTAGAAGCATCCAGTAATCATTCCCTGCTCCAAGGAACACCAAATTTAATAACTGTTCATGCAAAAATAAACCTTCATAAGAACCAAAAATCAGGTGCACAACTACCTTACCTGTTTTTAACATCATATTAAATAAAGTGGTACTGAAAAGCATAAGATGACAGTCTTGAATTGTCTACACCTCACCTCCCCCATCTCCTACCAGCAGCTGTGCAGCACAAAGAATCTGCGTGTTTAAGTAATGGATACTTCAGTGGTTGTGAGACTTTGCATTGAAATTCGGTGGTGTCCTGTCACGGTGGAAAGCAACACTAGGCAGACGTCAGCCAGGACCCAAGAAGGCATAATTTAGATAAGCCCTTAGCAGAGATAAATTGTCCATCTCAGCTGTTGGAACCTGAGTTCCAACAAGCCCCACTACCAAGGGCTAATGTGCTCTGGAGTCCTAAATGAACTTGAAAGGCCATCTAGGCCACAAAGAATACAACTTTGGGGAATGTTCTGGTACTGTGCTGGACTCAAAGACAGCCAACTTGTACACGTGAACTAGTGGGGCACTAACTGGAGTAGCCAAGGGAGTGCTAGTGTCTACCCTCCCCCAACCACAGGCAGAGCAGCTCAAAGCTACCTATAGCAGACACCATTCTTCTGCTTGAAGACAGGAGAAGTGAGAGTAAAAAGGACTTTGTCTTAGAAATGTATACCTTGTAAGCCACAATAGAATAGAGGACCAGGCAGAGTCCTGAAGGCACTATTCCAGGTCATATCACCTGTATAACATTTCTAGACATACCCTGAGCCAGAAAGCAACTTGATGCCTTGAAGGGAAAACCCAGTCCCAGCTGTACCTATCAATTGCTGACCAAAGAGCTCTTGGGCCCTGAATAGCCACCAGTGGTAGCCAGCTCTGAATCTCACCCAGGAATATGAAAGAGTAAAGGGGACATTGTGTTGCAGCTTGGGTACCAACTTGGCCACAGTGGGGATAGAGCATCAAGTTGGCTCCTGGGATTCCCAGTTCCAGGCCTTGACTCTTGGACAGCATTTTTGGACCTGCCCTGGGCCAGGAGGGAGCCTACTTCCCTAAAGGAAGAGAATCAGGACAGACAGCATTTATCATAAGCTGATGGAAGAGCCCTTGGCCCTTGAGTAAACATCAGTAGTGGCTGGGCAGCACTCACTTTGGCAGTGGCCGTGGGGAGAGATTCCTCTGCTTGAGGAAAAGGGAAGGAAGAGTGTGAAGGACTTTTTCTTGTAGCCTGAGTGCCAGCTAAGCCAAAGGAGAATAGAGTACCAGGTGGATTCCTAAGGTTCCTGAATCCAGGCCCTGGCTCCTGGGCAGCATCTCTGGACCCACCCAAAGCTGGTGTAAAACTTGCTGTTTTGGTAGAAAGGACAGAAGCATTTGGATTAATGACCTACTGATTTTAGAGGCTTTAGACCTTGAGTGAACATAGGCAGTAACCAGTTGGTGGTCACTGTGGGTCTTGGGTGAGATCCTGTGCTGTGCTAACTTTGGGTCTGACCCAGCACAGTTCCGGTGGTGGTTGCTGCAAAGGTTCTTGTGTCACCCCCGCTCCCTACACAAAGAATACAGCTAAGCCAAGTGAGAGAGACTTCATTTTTGTTTGGAAAATAAAGAACTACCAATCCTTCTTAAACTATTCCGAAAAAATAGAGGAGGAGGGAACACTTCAATACTCATTCTTTGAGGCTAGTATTACAAACCAGACAAGGATGCAACTAAAAAAAGAATACTACAGGCCAATGTAACTGATGAACATTGATGCAAAAATACTCCACAAAATATTATTAAACTGAATTCCACAACACATTGTAAAAGTTCATTCATTATTATCAAGTGGGATTTATCCCATGCATGGAAGCATTGTCTAACATATGTAAATCAATAAATGTGATATACTATATCAACAGAATAAAGAAAAAATATGATTATTTCATTTGATGCTATAAAAACATTTGATAAAATTCAGTATCTTTTCATAATAAAACTATTATGAACATACCTCAATGCAATAATAGCCATGTATGATAGTCCCACAGCTAGTATAATACTGAATGTGGATTTTTCCTCTAAGATCTACAATAAGATAAGGATGACCAGTTTCACCACTGTTATTCAGCATAGTACTGGAAATCCTAGCTATAGCAATCAGACAAGAAAAAACAAAAACAAAGGGCAACCAAATTGGAAAGGAAGAAGTAAAATTATTTTTGTTTGCGGATTATATAAGCTTATATTTGCAAAAAATATACTCTATCAAAATACTATTAAAAATGATAAGCAAATTTATTAAAGTTGCAAGACACAAATCATCATACAAAAATAAGTCGCATTTCTATATGCCAGCTGAATTATCTGAAAAACAAATCAAGAAAGTAATACTATTTACAGTAGCTACAAATAAAATTAAATTCCAAGGGGTAATCTTAACCAAAGTAGCAGACTATCATTAATGAAAACTATGAAACATTGGTGCAAGAAATTTAAGAGGAAATATATACAAAAAATGGAAAAATATTCCATGTTCATGGATTAGAAGAATCAATATTGTTAAAATGTCCATAGTACCCCAAGTAACCTGCAGATTCAGTGCAATTCCTATGAAAATACCAATGATATTCTTTTAACAAATAGAAAAACAATCCTAAAATGTATATGGTACCACAATAATTTTATAATAGCCAAAGCTATCCTGAGCAAAAAGAACAAGACTGGAAGAATCATATTACTTGAGTTCAAATTATACTACAGAGTTGTTGTTTTTTTCTTTTAAAAAGAGCGTGATAGTAGCATAGAAACAGGCACATAGACCAATGCAGCAGAATAGAGTGTCCAGAAATGAACCCATACATTTTCAGTGAATTTATTGTTAACAAAGATGCCAAAAATAATCATGGGGAAAGGCATTATCTTCAATAAATGGATATTAAATAAATATCCATTTGTAGAAAAATGAAACTAGATGACTATGTTGTACCATATAGAAAAACAAAACAAATTAAAGATTTAAATCTAAGACTTCACACTATGAAACTACTATAAGAAAACATTAGGGAAACACTCCAGAACATTGGTCTGAGCAAATATTTCTTGAGTAATGCCCACATGCACAGGCAATCAAAGCAAAAATGGGCAAAATGGATCACATCAAATTAGAAAGCTTATGAACAACAAAGGAAACAATCGACAAAGTTAAGAGACAACCCAGAGAATGGGAAAAGATATTTACATTCTGTTCATCTGACAAGGGAGTAATAAACAATATATAAAGAACTCAACTCAATAGAAAAAAAATATAATTTAATTTAAAAATGAGTAAAAGGTCTGAATAAACATTTCTCCAAAAAGACATACAAATGGCAAACAGGTATATAAAAAGTTGCTCAACATTATCGATCATGAGAGAACTGCAAACCAAAACTACAATGAGATGCTATCTCACCCCGGTTAAAAATAACTTTTATTCAAAAGATAGGCAACAATGGATCCTGGAAAGAATGTGGAGAAAAGGACATTCTTGTACACTGTTGGTGGCAATGTTATTTAGTACAACCACTCTGGAGAACATTTTGGAGGTTCTTCAAAAATACTAAAAATAGAACTACTGTGTGATGCAGCAATCCCACTGCTAGGTATATACCCAAAGTAAAGGCCATCAGCATACTGAAGAGATACCTGAACTCTCATGTTTGTTGCAGCACTATTCACCTTAGCCAAGATTTGAAAGCCACCTAAGTGCCAACCAACAGATGTGGATAAAGAAAATATGGTACTAAACACTATTCAGCTATAAAAAATCTGAGATCTTATCTTTACAACAACATGGATGGAATTGGGGTCATTATGTTAAGTGAAATAAGCCAAGCACAGAAATACAAACTTCACATGTTCTCACTTTTTTCACAGAGCTAAAAATCTAAACAATTGAACTCATGGAGATAGAGAGTAGAGGCTCAGAGGATAGTATTGCAAGACAATAGGGGATGGCTAATGTGTACAAAAATATACTTATGGAAAATTAACAATATGTAGTATTTCATAGTACAAAAGTGTGACTATAGTCAACAATAATATAGTGCATTTTTATTTCAGACAGACTCTTGCTCTGTTGCCCAGGCTGGAGTGCAGTCACGCAATCTTGGCTCACTGCAACCTCTGCCTTCAAGCAATTCTCCTGCCTCAGCCTCCCGAGTAGCTGGGATTGCAGGCGTGTGATACCATGCCTAACTAATTTAAAAGTAATTAAAAGAGTATAATTATACTGTAACACTGAGAAATAATGTTTGAGGTAAAGGAAACCTCATTTACTCTGGTGTGATTAACGTGCATTGTATGCCTATATTAAAATATCTCGTGTACTTCATCAACATATATACCTACTATGTACCCACAGAAATAAAAAAAACAAGACTAGGGGATGCATGGGCTTATGGGAAGAGAGAGGTTGAATAAGTGAAGCACATAAAATTATTTTTCAGTGGTTAACTTTTTTATATGTTACATTCTTGTATCTGGTATTGTGACTATTTAAATTATGAATTTCTCAGACCTCATAAAACTTTATAGGAAAGAGTGATGTTTAATGCATGCATATTTTAAAAATTATTTAGGAGATTAGGGGAACCTAGGATTGAATGCAGGATATGATAAAGAATCTAAATGTATTTTCTTTATATTCTGAAAGAATATGAATATATAAAATACCTAAAATGAGTGAGGGAATAATGTGCTGGCATAGGTAACTTTAGGAAAATTGGTGGAGTCTGTAAGACTAACTGGTAACCATATATAAACATTGCACTCTAATTGATAATTTTGTTTTCTATTGGGACATTGGTTGACAATTCTGAAATGACTATATATGTAAACTAGACAGGAACAATTTAGTAAATGGACAGTAGGTGGTGGAAGCCAGGTTTTTTATTGTTGGATTGAGAGGTCGCAAATAAGCAAGAGAATAGGATAGAATGATCAGTGTGTTAATGAATTAGATTTTGAGAGATTAGTGTGAAATCATGTTTAGCTTAATCCAGGTACAAATGGATATATAGAGAAATATTTATAGATATATGTGTATATATATGCATTAGTGTATACTCATACAATTTTTTGCTCTGTCAGTTTATAAGGCCTAGAAGCAACAACAATCCTGTTCCATTGAGCATACCTATCACCCAGATTTTGGTATGTAATAGCATTCTCCAACAAAAGGAACTAGAGATCCTTGGAGAAATAGCTGATTCTAAGGGTGAGGCAGGACATATACAAGATGAGCTTTAACCATCTTATAATGCCTGAAAGTAAGAAAGTACTACCCATACCCCACACTCCCCCCAAAAAACCCAAAACACAATGATTATATATATAAAAGTATACCAGGAACATACTGTATTAGTCTATTCTCACACTGCTATAAATATATTACTCAAGACTGGGTAATTAAAGACAAAAGAGGTTTAATTGGCTTACTGTTTTGCCTGGCTGGGAAGGCCTCAGGAAACTTACAATCATGACAGGAAGTGTAGCGAGGACCTACATCACGTGGTGGCAGGAGAGACAAGTACAAGCAGGGGAAATGCCAGATGCATATAAAACCATCAGATCTCATGAGAACTCACTCACTATCATGATAACAGCATGGGGAAAACTGTCCCCATGATCCAGTCACCTCCCACTGGGTCCCTCCCTTGACATGTGGGGATTATGAGGATTAAAATTTAAGATGAGGTTTGGGTGGGGACACAGAGCCAAACTGTATTATTTCACTCTTGACCCCTTCAAAATCTCATGTCTTTACATTTCAAAGCACAATAATGCATTTCCAACAGTATCCCAGTCTTAACTCATTCTACTCACCCAAATGTCCACGTCCATAGTCTCATCTGAGACAAGTCCCTTCTGCCTATGGGCCTGTAAAGTCAAAAGCAAGTTAATGACTTCCAATATTCAATAGGGGTACAAGCATCGAATAAATGCTCCCATTCCAAATGGGAGAAATTGGCCAAAATGAAGGGGCTACAGGTCCCATGCAAGTCCAAAATCTGGAGACGGAATCATTAAATCTTAAAGCTCTGAAATAATCTCCTTTAACTTCATGACTCACAACCAGCTCATGCTAATATAAGAGGTGGGCTCCTATGGTCTTGGGCAGCTCCACCCCTGTGGCTTTACAGGCTACAGCCACCTTCTTGGCTGTGTCTATAGTCTTGAGGCTGTATACATCAGGGGGGCTCTGGGCCTAGATCATAAATAATTTATGCAGATGTTCTGCCTTTAAGGAGGTAGAAAATAGCTCCCCAATTCATAAGTATGGTTTGCACATAGTGTCTGACTTTCTTTCAAAGAGTACATTATGAAAAAAGAGGGTAAAAATACGTTTCCAATGAAGAAATCTGATAAATGCTACCTCAAACCATGTGATCAAGGTTAACATCAAGAGTGTGAAGTCATATCAATACTATGTTCCCTTGATATGAGAATGGCACTTTATAATCTTTCTCCTGAAAACATATTATATCAGTCTTATCATGAGAAAAGCATCAGACAAATCCCAATCAAGAGACATTCTACAAAATATCTGACCAGTAATTTTTTAAATCTGTTATTATCATCAGCAGTGAGTTAAGTCTAAGAAACAGTTAATAAGTACATAAGGGAATATGAACTCTTAATAAAGTATGAAATTTAATTAATAGTAATATAACAATATTGGTTTATTATTGTGGAAAATGTACCTTACAATCTAAGAGGTTAATAATGGGACTGATGTTAGGTATTTGGGAATTCTCTATACTATCCTCACAGCAACTCTAATTTAAAACTTCTTTATATTAAATTAAAAAAAAAAAACTAAAAGAAAGAATGAGGATTCTGCTATATTCTTCAGCTTTCAAGGGACTCTCTTAAATGTTTTCTAGCTATAAATAGGCAGCTTATCCTGAATATTTTTGTATGTAGTGTTCACTACACAGTTCTGCATTTATATTTCATATTAGGTCAAATTCAGGATACAAAGAGGAAAACAGTATGTGACGCTTACTATTATTTAAGCTGTAGCTATTGTCCCAACTTGTCTCCTACTGTTTACTTTTCAGAGCCTTCAGGTAGAAACTTGTATATTTTTATAAAAAATTGTAACCATTGGGAAGGATAAGGGGTCACTGACTTACTCCATCTTGGCTAGGATTAGAAAGCTCAACCCAATTTTCTATTAAATAGATGATTTGCCAAAGTAGTTGATCGAAAGGAAAACATGAATATCTTTTCATGAATTTTTGTTTTAGATATCTGTGTTGTAGTCAATTTTTTTTCCTTTCAATGTGTTTATGCCCCACTGACCCACTCATCTTAATCTTTCTTCCAGCATCCCCCATAGGGACCTATGACCTTTTGTTAGGGTAATTGTACCTTGGGGTACATTGGGATAAAGGAAATAATTAGATCTCTTGAAGACTACTGGACATCTCTGAACTGACACTGCCTCCAGGAGACCAAGAATGTAAGAATGTCACTTTGGTCTAGCATCAGAGTAGGAGCATGGAAGTTAAGTGATCAACCAAGTTTTAGGCTAGTTTTATCTCAAGTGGAAAAAATAGACCCTAAACCTGTCCTGTGGTCAGTTACCCAGTTTTGAAATGCATAATTGGAACAGATATAGATATACTCAGCAGCTAGCCATATCTCTGCATTAATTCCCTGGCCTGTGGAGTGAGAGCTATTATGTCGGGAAAGGCCAAGGGGAAGCCCCTAGAACTGCTATCAAGTAACTTAGTAAAACATAAGGGATGTTTTCATAGAGGGATTGCAGAGATGACTGCCACCACTAAGGACTTGAAAGACATACTTACTTCTCAATTCAACTCACGGTTTGGCCTGTGCATAAGACGAATGGATCTTGGAGAATGACAGTGGATTATCTTAAGTTTAACCAGGTGGTGCTTCTGACTGCAGCTGCTATACTAAATGTGACTTCATTGCTTGAACAAATTAACACATCCCCTGGTTCCTGGTATGCAGGAACTGAAATGACAAATACTTTTTTTCCTTTCGTGTTAAAAAGGTCTACCAAATCAGTTTGCTTTCAACTGGAAAGGCCATCAATATACTTTAACTGTCCTACCTCTAGCCCTACGTTGCAATTCAGTTTGCAAGGATTTTGATCATCTTTCTTTTTTTTTTTTATTATGCTTTAAGTTGTGGGGTACATGTGCAGATCATTCAGGTTTGTTATATGGGTATATATGTGCCAGGGTGGTTTGCTGCATCCAATCCCCCATCATCTACATTAGGTATTTGTACAAGATACTAGCTACCCCACTCTTTTTCACGGATTACTTTGTACTGAGTTAACCTAGTGAGCAAGAAGTGGTGGCTAGACTTACTAGTAACATCTTTGCATATCAGAGGATAGAAAATAAATCTGACAAAACTTCAGGAGTCATCTATCTTAGTGAAATTTATAGGGGTCCACTGGTATAAATGATATCAAAATATTTTTCCAAAGTTGAAGGATAAGTTGTTACATTTGCATGATTTGCTATATATTGAGTAAAGAGTACTTGACTTAGAGTTAGAGAGCATGAATTTAAGTGCTGCCTGTGACACCATGGAGAAGTCACTTCTCCTTTCTAGGTTATGTAAAATAAAAATGTTAGACTAGAAGTTTATCTTTATTATTCCCTCTAACTCTCAAGATTCTAGAACCCTAAAATTCTAAGTTGTTAATTAGTTTCCACTTGAACATTTCTAGTGACAAGAAACTCATTATCTGTAGAATGACTTAATTTCAATTGTATGCATCTCTGTTCATTGGAAAATAGTTTTCTTACGTAGAGCCAAAATCTGCATTCAAATAATTTCCATACATTGATCATAGAAGGAAATTGGAACACATGTGATTTTCTCATCTATGTAACAGTACATCAGATATTTGAAGTCACTCACAGTCCTATTTTTTTTTTCTAGGTTCAATAGCCCTAGTTCTTTAAACTCTTCTTTGGATAGTATGGTGTCTTTCCTCCTCACCATTTTGCTCATTCTCCTCTGAATATGTGATTTTCCAGTATAGAGCTGAGAAATGAGCTAGTCCCAAAGAATACAGTAATTCATCTGCTATTCTATAGTATAACAGGTCTATCATCTCATTTGTTTTACTAATCATAGTTCTTAGATTGCATCTATCTTATTTATTTTATGCTATGTAACATAATACTACAGACTGGGTAATGTATAAAGAACAGAAATGTATTTTCTCTGAGTTCTTGGGGCTGAGAAGTCCAAGATCAAGGTACTGGCTTCTGGTTAAGACCTTTGTGCTGCACCCTCACATGGTGTAAGAGAAAGAAAGATGAAGAGTATTTCAAGCCTCTTTTATAAGGTGTTTAAATCCTGTTCATGAGACAGGAGCTCTCATACCTAATCACCTCTTAAAGACCCTGCCTTTTAATACTATCACATTCATAACACATGAATTTTAGAGATGACTCATTCAACTGCAGCAGTATCCCAGGATCACATTAATTTTTAAACAGCTATATTAGATAGCTGACTCAGATTAATTGTGTAGTAAGTCTACTCAAATCTTAGTTTGTTCATAAATGTGCTTGAAGAGTCATGATTTTTTGAGTCTTTACTTGAACACTATTATTTAGACCCAGGAGCAAGATTCTATAGTAGTCCTGGGTATAATTCATCTTGTTAATGTTTTTCATCCCTGCCTCTGTCATCCAAAATGTTCACTCTCATTCAAGTTCCATATCATTGACAAAATTGTAAGCCAAACTGCAACATTTTTTCAACTAATTAGTAATGATTTTGAACAAGAATTACCATAAAACGTCACCGAAGTTTTAAGTTGGCACTACTTCACCTATTAGCACATTCAGTTCATATTTTGCTATCTTTTCGCATTAAGGGTATTGAGACCAGCTTTGTCTGATGCCCTGCTAAAGACCAGATTAAGTACAGTTACAACATTTTCCCTGATCTACCAGTAACTTAAAACCTACCAAAAGAAGAAACAAGATTACTTTGGTATAACTTGTTCTCCATGAATCCATGTGGAATCCTATAAAAGTGATCATAAAATCATCTTTTAAATAAGAAAACTCCTGCCCCATCTACTCCTTCTTTTAAAAAAATAGAATAACGTCAATATGTCTCTAGTTTTCCTGTGTTCTTCCCAATATTCTTAAAATATTAACACTTATATACAAACAAGGGTAGCTTGTAGCTTGATAAACAGTAGAAAGAGAATAGTCATAGAATCAGGTTTATATTCAACATTTGACTCCATAATTTACTTGTTGTATAGGAGATTACTTAATATTTCTTAGCCTTAATTTTTTTCCTTGTAAAATGTGAATAGTGCTATCTACTTGAAATGAGTAATAAAGCTTAGAAATGCTATATGTGACACATAGTTCATGGTACATACAAAGAAATTCTGTTATTATTGTTTATTTGGAATATAATTTATGTCTAGTAGCTTGTCTTCATTAAAGATATAAATCTTACGCTCTTGATCGGAATTCCAATTGTTCTTCCTTATGACCAATTAAAGCATTCCAATCCAAAGGTTATTTTCATGTCTACTCTGGCTTTGGATTCTTACCACATTGTTGCTTCAGGTACAGTCTGAGTAGTAATATCTCAGGTGTAGTTTCAGATCCTGAGGCTTTGAATCAGATCATCTTCTTGATGCTACTCAGAACACTCCCCTCCTTATCTTTTTTATCTTCTCCTCCTTTATTTTCCCAGTAAAACATATGCTTCCCCAGATTCCTCTCTCTTACTATCACAAATTCTCCCTTTGGGTTCTTTTTCAGGACTTTCCAGGTTTTTATGTAATCCAGAATGAAGTTTTGATGCCTGATTCCTCACTATTTCCTTGTTTTATATTAGAAGGCTGTAGAATTTTCCAAAGGAAGATTTCTCTGATTCACAAGTAACTATATTGAGTTATATTTTTCATGTTACCAAGTGACTAAGATGCATTTTGTAGATCTTTCTGATATCCTATGTTTCTTCATTAAAAATCTGCTTCATCCAAATATTTATTTTAGATAAGCATTAGATAGAGCTGAAATGACTATATGCAGTATAAAGGCATTATACGCTGTAGTAGTAATTTGGGGTAGAAGTCTTCAGGATAAAATAGAATCACTTTAGCATGATACATGAATCCACATGATCTGGCCTCTGCCATGATCTTCCTATAGCCATAGCAAAGTAAGTTATATAGTGTAATATTTTATTTTTGTAGTTTTGCCCAAAAATCATCTGTCTGTAGCTCTCTACTGGGATTCAAGAATTAGTTCAATCATTACCTCCTTTGGTAAGTCTTCACCATATCCTTATGTTCCAAGTCTAAGTTAATGCAGCACCATTGTGATCAAGCAGCACTCTGCATTTTCTTCTATTCAAGTGCTTATTAGGCTATTTACTTGTCTGTCTTCCCAATAGTCTATAGGTTTCTCTAGGGCAGGGAATGTCCCTTATTCATTTCTGTGTACCCAACATTTAAATAGCAAAGAGTGAACAGTTGACAACTTAATTAGAAACATTTATCTAATAAACATGGAGACTGACAAGGGAGATCAGAATTTCTAAGGCCTAAGGCTGGAAATGAGTGTACACATAAGACATTTATAATTGAATGTATTCAAATAGATACTGCAGTAGGGACTGGGGGAGAAATTTTTGCCATTTATTAATGTCAATGGTTGTATATTTATAGTTAACATGAATAGTGATATGTCTTCAAACATAACTATTTTTAGAGGGAAGAGCATACCACATTTTAGTCTGAGTCATACCAGTTTGCCTAGTATGCATATACACACATATAAACACACAGACGTACACACATACTATTCCTGTCAAAGAGAAAGCTAGATCCCAGAAAATAATTTAATTTGGTTGAATAAAACATGGTTTAAAGTAATTGATTTTAAATTGTTGTTGAATTTTGACTTGATCTATTTAAATACCCCATATAAATAACATCCAAACTTGTCATACTTTCCTCTTGTTGGAATATTTACGTAGTGTAGAGGCATGATACTCCTGAGACAAGCAGTTTTGGAGAATGATCATCTGAGGAACTGAATTCACTTAAGTGCTTATTTTATCAAACAGATGCATATGTATGCATGAATGTGTGTGTGTATACATAAAAACATTTCTGTTATTTATATGCTTACTTGCTCTGTATAATAGACAAGTTTATTGTATACTCAATAAAATGCTGATTATTCACCTCTTCATTTAATATACATCATTAGTACACAGTGCCTGCTTGAATGCTTTCAGGGAAATTATATATATGACATAGTACACTTGTGGAAATCTGCTACTTAGTAATTGGTCACGAGTGGTCAAGTTGAACTCTATCAAACTGAAGGAAATACTCATATTTTGAGGTTGAGGTAGGGTGGAATTTCAAGGAACTTTCCATTTCTATTCATTTGCATTTGTGTTATTTGAGTATTTTACTAAATTCTATTTTACTTTTGCAATCAGAATGAAAGATAAAAAGCAATTTTAAAAAGACAGTGTCAAGTTACTTCTGACCTGAGTAGAACTAATACAGCAGTGAATGCATTAGATAGTATAATATCATGTGGATTATAACAGCCTTGGTAAGATTTCTTTGAGAGGTAATAAAATTAGTTTTCCTTTGGCTCTGTATTTTATATTAAATGAACACCATGCACACATTCAAATTTATAAAAATAGAGATTAGAAAAACCATGATAATTTCAGAATTAAATATATGTAAAATCTGAATGAGGTTTGAGTCTATAATAGTTGTACACATGCAAATTTCCTTTGAATTTCACAGAGCCAGCTATATATAAAAAAAGGAAAAGTCGAAAATTGATTGGCACCATAACCACCTACCTTATTGTATGCTGCCTTGATCTTCACAGTATCTTGACCTGCTTTTCATAGTTGTCATTTTACTTGTTCCTCTTTTACTAATTCACACTTCTTGCCAAAGATAAAAATTGCCTTCTGTTGCCTATTGCCTAAGGGTACCACTTTCTTTCCCTTTCAAGAGAAAAAACATTCTAATTTGACATAGTACTCTGTGTCATCCATTTAAATAGTGGCTTTTAGGATATAAATATGGACATTTGTGGACTAACTAATAAAACAATGTATTAATTTATGATAAGACTTTTTGGCTCAGTAAGAAAAGTAAGCAGTAGTGTGCTGAGACTAGATGGTTCTGGATATACAATAGATTGAGGTGGGGAGACTTGTAATATACCTCTAAAATCATATCTTTTATGACTCATATCACTTAAAGCTGATATCATCTCTCAGTGAGATCATCTATGGTTTGTTTGTTTATGTAAAATGGGATTTCCTGTTTATACAAGGAGAACAATGCTAACATCGTTTATCACAGTGATCCAAGCAGTCTGTCTAAAGTGCCACAAGAGGAAGAAGTACGTTTTGATGAGTGAATGTAAATTAATCGGAAACATACTGGTCTGAACTTCTTTTACCTTGAGACACAGGAAGGATTCTAAATATTTCAACTAGAATATCATAAGTTTAAGGATGTCATATCAAGCTGAATTCGTGGCATTTGGCCTGAAGCTCAAAAAGTTTGAAATGAAAACAAGGTCAGTACCCATTACAGTCAGGGATACATTTGTTGCATTTGCTGATGAACAGATGAGCTCCATTACATTCTGATTTTCCAGAGGTTTATTTTCTCCCATCATTAATTTGGTACCATTTTCTGCCTCGTAATTTATTTAGTTTATCTACTCAGTGACCATTTGGTAAGGAAAACAAAACCTTACATGATGATAAATAAATGTTGAAGAGGTTATTTTATGTTAACCTAAGTTTTTACTTTTAGCTTATCATAAATGTGGCATAGCTAGGACATTTATTGTATTAGTTGTTGTTGTTGTTGTTTTTTAATTTTCTGCGCCAGTGCTCCCCATTACTAGTGCAAACAATCAATACCTTGAATGACCAGCAATTTTATTCTTCCTCTTCCATGACATTGTTATAATTTTGAGCCTTAACAGTATTGAAAGAGGATGTGATCTTTCCTGGAATTTATATAAATTCTTGCTTTCTCTAATCTATGGTAAAATGTAGTTCTAAGATTTGAGAATGTGCTCTTCTGGAAAAGGATTTTTCACATTTTTCTTTTGCTTAGTAAGAAATGCTAGTGTCTACCAGCCAAACCTTCCTCAATGCTATATGCCAAACTCTCAGGCTTATTGAAAGTTGTTTAATTTGTAACCACAGCCCACAATTCAGGCTAAAGAAATGTTGGTCATCTTATGCAATAGAACCTACTGATAGGGTCTTTCTTAATAACAACTTAGGTAGCCAGAAGTTGGCAGAAACTGAAGTCCGCTTTTTGAGCAGCGTTACTCTGTCTTTTCTCAACAACTAGGTTCTGAGTACAAATCTCACAGGAAATAAAACAAAGCTTATTTGTTGGGACAGAAGTCAAAAGAATTGTGTTAGGCAGTATTTCTGGGAGCATAATGTTATTTTTTAAGGTTTCCTGAAAGTGCTGAGGTCATCAGTTCTGTATTTTAGGACAACATTATGACATTAGGAAAGTGTCAGGAAAGAGCAAATCCTGTTGTGGAAAACTCTTACTCTAATGAGCTTATTGATTTGCTTTTCAAAATCCTAGATTTTCTCAGGGGATTTTTGTACCTTGATTTTCCAAGAGCAACTAGCATTCCTGAATGAAGGTTTAACTTGACATCGCAAGTTAAACATCCATTGATGTAAGTGTTGCTTGGATTTAGCAAGTTTAGTAATCAGAAAAATTACTAAATAAGCATGATGCAGCACTGCTACTGCTGTGAAAAATTTTTTTTTTCTTAGTAATGATTGAAGTCCTGCTAACAGAGAGAAAGAAACCGATTGCACGTATCCAGAGCAATTCATTTCATAAGGATTGCGTGTGTGTATGTGAATATGAATGTCTGTGTGTGATTATTTAAGGGTAGATGCTTCTGTTCTATTTTTCTCCTTCTAGGTTGAGTCCTAAAGCAACAGCAGGAGGTAAATAAGGGAACAAGGGGTAGAAAGATGGAAATGAGTCCTGGGCAGATAGAAAAGCATATGACAAATCCCAGAGATTAAAAAGAGAATGTGGCACTTTTGAGGAATTAGAATTCAGTACAGCAGGTGCATATAACATACTAGTGTGAACAGGAGATGTGAGTCTGGAGAGAGAAGCAGAAGCCAGATTATGAAGGATCTTAAAAGTCAACCTTTGAATCTGAGCTTTATTCTAAGGGTAATGGGAAACGATTGAAGGTTTAAGCAGGAAAAGCACATGAATCTAATAGTTAAAATGAGATGGCTACTATGATTATTATCTTGTAGGTACAGTGCTCTGCAGTTTACAAATAACTTTCCAAATCATTGTCTATTTAGTCTTCTTAATGGTTTTACACAATATGTGAATTAATTATGATTATTATTTGCATTGAACAAATAAATGAACTGAAGCTTGTAGGAATTCATGAACGTTCAATGTCATAATTGTCAACAACTGAAATATTAGATTTTACTATGCTTGTTGAAAGCTTACGAATTCTTTTTTTCCCATTGCCCTTCAAGTATGATTGGAGTAAACTAATGTGGCTTAGGTAGCTGCTGCACATTCAGTAATGTACTTCACAGATGAGGATCCCAGAGTTTAGGAAACTTCAGTGTTTTAGCTTCCCCAACACTTGCACTTGGAGGAAGATAGTGTCTTTATTATCCCAGATGACAGCAAACAGACCTGCTGTCTCTCCTAGAAGAATACACTATTTCCATCTTCCATAGTTGTTTGCTATGCAAACATTGTGAAAAGATAGTCTAGTAGAAAGCTCACAATGTTTCTAATCAGATGTGCAGAAGATGAGAAACTCGTAGAAAATTGTCTCTTATCAGTAACCCTTAGGCTTGGATGCCAAATCCCATGCTTGTCCTATACTCCTGTTCTTGCATAAGATTTATAATTTTTGAACATATTCACAGCATTGAATAAAATCAAAGCCTTTATATAGAGACCAGTCTTCTGTGATAGCAAGAAATTTTTGCTTATGACTACACAATTGTCAAATTAAGTAAATTGACACAGAAGTGTTCCCGTTTCTTTTCCACTTGTGCTAGCATTTAGAAAATTGCAGTAACTTTTACTGTCTGTATTTGGAGAAAATAAAACTAAAGGATCATGACCAAATGATTTTTTTTTTAATTAAACTTTAAAAATTGCCCCTTCATGGTGATTGGAACTGCAGACCAGCATCATTGCTGCCAGAACCATTCAATGTGAAAGGAAATGCTGCAAGGAGCAAGAGAAATGATTGACTAGTAAAATTTCAGTAAATAATGAAACGGCATTTGGTGTGTACTTCAGTATTTTAGGACATTGTATCAAATGTAGAGAGTGTGTGGGTCATATCCACTGGAAATACATCAATTTCTACTCTGTAGAGAAAGTGACAGACTTATATGTTTACAAAATCCTTAGAAAACTCTACACATATGAAATTACGAAACAGGAAGAGAAGGGACCATGAGTTACTGATCACTTTCTATATCCCATATAATTTATTTAGTTATAATCCTATAAGATCATTATTATTCTTATTATAATGATTATAACTGAATTTTGAGAAAACTAACTTGCTTAAAATTGTTCAGTTGTTATGTGACCAGTCTTAGATTTGAGTTTAGGTAAAACTATCCATGCTTGTCTTCATTTTGTCACCATACTACCTATGTATAAATTCTTGCAATTACATAGGATACTTGGAGTCATTATTTCTTAAGAGGGAAAGAAGTATGTTGACATGGCCAAGTCAATATGTTGTGCTATTTGAGGAAATTTCCAAGTATAAACAAAAGAAATAAGATAGGTTAGACAAAAAAGCAGGGGCTATGGTAAGTTGGGGGTAGGAAAAAGAAAAATAATCAGTGACTTCATTTCTCAAGTTGGAAAACCTAGACAACACCAGTGTTTATGTGTATTAGCTAATTGGATACAAGAAGATTTATAAATTCTACCTGCCCAATTCTATCCAAAAGAATGTGTTCATAACGGTTATGTTTGGATTGCTTGAACTACTGAATCAGATCAACTACTGGGGATTTCATTACTGAGAAACAATTCATTATGGTAGTTAAAAAATATTGTGGTTTCATTGCTTGTGCTTTCTGTAAGAAATTGGTCAATCCAGTGATAGAGTTCAGTGAAACCGATTATTTGGGCCCTGTGGACAAATTAATACATCAAAGTAGTAGTTTAGCAGGACATTGATCCTTTTCAGGCCATTGGAGTTGACTTCCTGTAGACACAGCTTTAATCTTAAGAGCCTGAAGAGCAAATGTTGCTTTTCTCATTCCTCTTTCAGGCCTTTAATACAAGCTGTGTAAGATTTTGATATAACGCAATGTAATAAGGAGCAGAATTGTATCAGTTTTCTAATGTCAGTCAGGGAGCTATGCTGATACTTGCTGAGTTACCTTGCCTGCCTGGGATTACTCATGTGACTGCTCCAACTTGGACTCTGAAAAGTAATCTCTAAACACATTCCCAAGAAACTAAAAACCACTGGGATAAAATGCATTAGTGGGAATGGAGGCAAGCTCATAAATAATCTGAAATAAATATCTCAATAAAGGCTGTATAGAATCAATTACAATGAAAAAGCCTTGTTAGCAATACACACTGGGAAATGATTTGAGAGAATGGATAATTTCATTATTTGTTTGGATTTTGATAAATGTGTTTTCTACTTGGTAACTTTAATGAGAATCCTTGAAATGGAATTAATCATGTTAAATTTAAAAAAATGAATTAAAGGAAATATTTTAAACAAATTAAAATTTACCTGTGAGGCACATAAACACAGTATACATAAGGCAAATATGTTTGTAAAAATGGAAAGTTATAATAAATTGATTGGGGAAAAAGTTGGAATTGTGCTTTAAAAAAGTTTCCATAAGTAACATATGATGTCTGAGGAATTGGTAATGTTCCTCAGGCTTCCATGCAGTTGGACTATTATATGAGATGAACTATATTGCTAGTAATAAGGTTTTGACTGTCTTTCTAGAAAATCAAAGTTTTAATTGACATTGGGGTTTCTGCAGCATATTCTTTTGGGAAGACATAACAACGAAATGTTATGTCGTTGGAAGAATTTATTATTTTTTATCAGAAGTTGAAAGGTTGTAGAGTCAAGAAGTTGGGAATGAGGGACTGTTATTTCTTCTTTCAGTAGAAACTGTTGAAAATAAACATATGAATACAAAGTTATTATTTCAAGTAACTGCCACATTGTCTTCTGAGCTAGTGATACTAATAAACAGTTAATAAGGAAGTCTTTTTGACTGTCTCTTAAGAATTTTTCTCTTTTCTTTTATCTACTCTCCTTTCCATTCAACAGAAAATTGTTATTAAGCATCTACCATGTGTCAGGTGTTTGTGCTAAACTCTAGTGATTTAATGGTAAACAAGAGCATGACCCATATCATCTTGGAGTTTACAGTGTAATATAGAATGTAGACATGTAAACACATTCTAATACAGTGTGATACATGCTAAGATCAAAGTGCAGAGTAATATGTACACAGAGTGAAAGCAGCTAAGTCAGCCAAAATTTCAGGGAAGGCTTTCTAGGGGAAATTAACATATAGTTGAGATATAAATGATAAAGAATAAGATATTTAGCTAAGAGAATGACAGAGGAATTGATGTGGTTTTATAGAGGAAACAGATTATAAAAAGATTTGGATGTAAGAACAAGCTCAGAATCTCCAGTGCTGGAGAAGAGAACTTTAGGATGAGAGTGGTAATAGGTAAGAGTTGGAGCGGGGCTGGGCATGGTGGCTCACGCCTGTAATCCCAGCACTTTGGAAGGCCAAGGTGGGTAGATCACCTGAGTTCAGATGTTCGACACTAGCCTGGCCAATATGATGAAACCCCATCTTTACTAAAAATACAAAATTTAGCTGGGCATGGGGGTGGGTGCCTGTAATCCCAGCTACTTGGGAGGCTGAGGCAGGAGAATTGCATGAACCTGGGAGGCAGAGGTTGCAGTGAGCCGAGATTGCTCCACTGCACTCCAACCTCAGCAACAGAGCAAAACTCCATTTCAATAAAAAAATGACTTGGAGGGGAAGGAGAAGCGAAACAACAAGAACCTTAAAGCCATGTATTAGACTTAACATTGATTATAATAAGAAACTATTGAATAGATTTAAGCAGGGGAATGACACAACCAGATATGTTTTAAAAGATCACTCTTAACTGTTGTGTGCAGCATAGCAGGGCAGAGTGGGAGGACAAGAGAAAAGGCAGTGCAGTCATTAAGGAAGGTATTGCAACAATTTATGTGAATAATGGAGGCATGGATTAGGGTTGTAGCAGTAAAGGTGGATTCAAGAGATTTTGGAGTTACAATTCACAAGATTTGGTGATGTGTCAGCCAGGGCAAGTGGTGAGAGATCAAAGACTCAGTAACAAATTCTGTTTCTGATTTAGACATTGCCTAAAACAGGCAACACTGTTGGGGAAAGATTAAGGAATGAGAGTGATAATAATTTTGTTTCCACAGTAAAACATTCCACTGAAATTATTTAGGAAGCTGTTGGAAGTATATGTGGAATTAACTTATGGGTGATGATCGAAGCCATTTGAACTGGCAGATCCCAGGGAGAATATATTGAGTAGCAGGAAATGGGCTCAGAACAGATCCTTGAGAAGTAAGCTCTCATTTCAGGGATGGCCATATTAAAAGTAGCCATCAAAATAGATTAAAAGGAGAGATATCTGGAGAATGTGGTTTTATTGAAAGCAAGGGAGAAAAATACTTTTAAAAGGAGGTGGTGGTCAATGGTATCTAAAGGTTCTGTGATAAGGATTGTGAAAGGATTCATTAGATTAAACTACAAGGATGTCTGTGATTTTGGCAACAATGGTTTTGAGGTGAGAGATCAGTAAGACTTGATTTGTGAGCCTGTCATGACCCTGCTAATCAAAGCAGGTTGTAGCAAAGAAACGGCCAAAACTAGCAAGGCCCAAGATGGTGATAAAAGAGACCTCTAGTTGCTCTCATTGCTCCTTACACACTAATTATAATGGATTTGCATAAGATATTCAGTGCCATGACAGTTTATGAATGATGCAATGGCCATGACCCAGAAGTTACCTTATATGATTCTGGTAACTCTCTGCCCTTTCTGCAGAAAGTTCTTGAATAACCCATCCCTTTGATTAGTATATAATTAAGAATGGGTATAAATACAGCTAGCCAGTAATCCATGAGTGCTACTCTGGGCCACACTGCCTATGAGATAGCCTTGCTTTGTCTATGACCACAGCCATTTTGCTGTACACTGTTGCTCTAATAAACGTGCTTTCTTTCACTCTTGGCCTGCTCTCGAATTCCTTCCTGAGTGAAGCCAGTAACTCTCTCAGGTGAAGCCCCAGTTAATACCAAAAAAATCTCATTTCCACTCTACCCTGTTTGTTTCCTTGTAACATGTTGTGATTTATAGCACAGCACAACCAGGATAGTGACACTGATAGAGTCAATGTACAGAATATTTCCATCACCACAAGGATCCTTTGTATTGCCCTTTTATATAGCACCACTCACTCTCGTTATTCCCTCCTATCTTCACCCTTTCTTACCATGTGGCAACCACTAGTCTGTTACACTTTGTATGATATTGCCAGTTAAAGACTACAGATTGGGTCCAGTGTATACTGCTCAGTTGATAGGTAGAGCAAAATCTCACAAATCACCAACAAAGAACTTACTCATATAAACAAAAAATGTTGCTTTCTATGATTTTTTAAAAAAATACTGTTATATGAGTGAAATCATGCAGTAGATAACATTTTAGGAATTGCCTTTTTCATTCATTATAATTATCTGAAGATTCATCCAGAAAAGACAGAAATGTATCATTCATATGTGTATATCAAATGTGTATTATCAAAATTTCCCTTTCTCTCTTTTACTGTTTTCTCTGACATCACAATATTAACAAGAATGAACAAAGTAAAGCATTACCCATTTGACCAGTGGAAGAGAATGCAATGAGAACTGAATAAAGCATCTCTAAACTTCACGTTGTAGCCAGTTCCTATTTTCTCCAGAAGATGGTTGAGAAGAATGAGTAATGTGGGCTCTCCTGAGTTTAGTTACACTTTTAATTAGTTCAGTAAGCTCTTTTCTCTCTCAGTGAAACTGTAGATAAATGGGTCATTAATTGTTTTGGCATTTTATTTTTTATTTTCCAGTAATATTTTTAAAATTATTATTATACTTTAAGTTCTGGTGTACATGTGCAGAATACGCAAGTTTGTTACATAGGTATCCATGTGTATTTTGGCATTTTATACCTTCTTTTATCTAAATGACAGCAGAGACATCATTGGGCATTTCTCATATTTTTCAGAAATTAGAAGTATGTGAAAGCAGCAGGTTTTTCTTCAACTGGATAACTATAATTTCACACTTAACCAAATAGTCTGTCTTCACTAAGTATAGTACCAAGATAGGTGAAGTAAAAATGTAATATCAAATAGCATTACCTTCCCTATATTTTCACAAAAGAGGCTATTTAGATTGGATATTCTTCTGTGAGCTAATGGAATAATTGCACACTTAGAGTGTTCATATTTACAATTGATATCATCTCCATATTACTGTGTTTCTAAGGAACCTGTAATCTTGGTATGTAGGCGATAAAACACTTTTTAGAGAGTGAAATGCTTCTTTGAGCCTACTCTGCCTCTGGAGTTTGTAGAAGGAGATGCTGTGTAACCGGGCTCATACCTAGCAGTTGGCCTGCATCTTGCCATTCTGCTAGTTTTATTTATTTCTTTCTGTGGAGTAAATCTCAGAGATGAAACTGTTCTCATCCACTTTTCATTCATGGGAAAGGATGCTTTTAAAAAGAAATATGTAGCTAGAAGTTTGTGCAGAAGGGATTGCATGAATGCACATAGAAATGAAAACATGGATACACTTTCATGAATTCTGGCTAATATCAGAATCCGTGGTACTCAACATGTTAGGCTCACCGGATCTAAGTTGTTAGCATCCTGTTTGTAGTGGAGAGGCATGCAAATTTAGGATCCAACACCCTTTTTAATATTGATAATGTTGTATACCACAAGAGCTTCATGTTGTTTCTGAGTACTACTCAATATAATGACTGGGAGACTTTTGCAGAGAAGATGAGTATGACAAGGCAATGTACATAAAAATTACAGTCATTTAATAACAATAATATCATAACATTTAAGGGGGGATTATACTGTTAAATTCTGTATATAAATTTTTGTTTTTTTATGTAGACTGATACATTATTTTCATAGAACAATGAGAAAGTTGGATTTAGCACATTCTCCATCAGTGCACCTCTTTTTGGATGAAAATTTTATGGGCACAATTTCAGAACTTATTCTGAGATGTGAATTCTTCAAAAAGTTGGCATCCAGCTTCATTCAGTTTTATTACTAAGGTATGTGAGGCTAAGGATTTATGTGTTTGCAGTTAATCTTTATAGAAATAACCTTATTGTCTACCAACTGATTAATGGATAAACAAAGATAGTACATACATAAAATGGAATATTATTTAGTTGTAAAAATAAAGGAAATATTGCATGCTGTAACATGGATAATACTTGGAAACATTAGGCTAAGTGTAAAAAATCAGTCATTCATATACGTGTGTGTTTGTGTATTTTTTAAGCCTCTTTTTCTTAATTAGCTTGACAATTTATTATCTTTTCTTAATTTTAGACAATCTGGTGAGTACGAACTAGTGTCTCATTGATTTTGATTAACATTATTTGATGCATAATGATGTTGAACAGTTTTTTTTGTGTGCTTATTGGCCATTTGTTTACCTTCTTTGGAGAAGTGTCTATCCAGATCCTTTTTTATTGTTTTTGTTTTTTCTGTTCTTTTTTTGTTTGTTTTGGGGGTTTTGGTTTTTGTTTCTTTGTTTGGGACAGGGTCTCATTCTGTTGCTAAGGCTGGAGTGCAGTGGCACAATCATGGCTCACTAGAGCCTTAACCTTCTGGACACAGGTGATTTTCCCACCTTAGCCTCCCAGGTAACTGGGATTACAGATACACACCACCACATTCAGCTTTTTTTTTTTTTTTTTTTTTTTTGTAGAGAAAAAGTTTTACCATGTTGCCCAGGCTGGTCTTGAACTCCTGGGCTCAAGCAGTCCACCCACCTTAGCCTCCTAAAGTGCTGAGATTACAGGCGTGAGCCACTATGCCTGGTCCTTTTTATTGTTGAGTTGTAACTGTTCTTCACGTATTCTGAATACAAATTCCTTATAGGATGTATGATTGGGAAGTGTTTTATCTCATTTTGCGGGTTTTCAGTTTCTTCATGGCTTTCTTTAAAACAAACAAGTTTTTAATTTTAATGAAGCCAAATTTATCTATTTTTTTTTATTTTGTTGCTTGTGCTTGGTGTCTAAGAAGCCTTTATCTAAGGCAAGGCCATCGTGATTTATATCTGTGGTTTTGTTTCAATAATTTTATATGTTTAGCTTTTACATTTGGGTTTATGATCCATGTTGAGATTATGTTTGTACATGATATGAGGTTGGGGTCCAACTTCATTCTGTTGAATGCATCATGAGTTGTTAGTTATCAAGACGATCAGTCAGGACAAAAAGCCAAACTGAAAATAACAATCAAGCTTTAATTCACTTGCTAACATACAGTACCATGAAAGCAGGTGACAGATCCCTCAGTATTTCATTTTTTCCCAGAGAAGGACATAGGGTGAAGATTAAGTATGTCAGCACAGGTGAAGAATCATCTCTTTACTGAGGAATTCCCCCTCAAAAAAGGGATCCTGCTGTTTTGTGGACCTGAGGCAAGGGTTTGTCCTCAAAAAGGACTGCATACTAGAGATAATTGCCTTCAAGATCCTTGATGAGGAAGTCTCTGTGTTGAGACACCTGGAACATAAATAAAGATGTATAAGAGCATGATCAGTGAGGGTGGTGGGTGGAGGTAGGAGTAGGAATTGGGGCTGGGTCCTGGACTACAACTCCCTCCAGAGCTTGAAATGCATTGGCCTTGAATCAAGTCTGGTGTGGGGAAGGCAACTTTCCTCTGTGAAGCTTGCCAGACAAAGACTTTGTAAT